GCCCGGCGGCGCGCGGGGCGGCGCGTGCGCAGTGCGGCGGCCGGGCCGGGCCGCGACCCCCGCAGGCCCCAAAATCCTCCCGGGACCCCCAAAATCCTCCTGGGGCGCCCGCCCTCCTCCCTGAGACCCATAAAATACCCCCGTGAACCACAAAATCCGCCCCGGGAGCGCTCAAACCCCTCCAGGTCCCCTCGGGACCCGCACGGCCCGGCCCGAGACCCTCAGGGTGCCACAGAGCCCCTCCAGCCCTCACAGATTATCTTGGGATCTTCCAATCCTCCGCAAAACACGGAGCCCCCCAAAACCTCCCTGGCACCCCCGAAATTCCCTGGGAGTCCCAGTCTCCCTGTTAAAAATGAGTGTTTTATGGTTGGCTTTTCGCAAATATTGAAATTAATGTGATATGTGTTGTGTTAGAATTATTATAAATTAATGCATTATGCTGTATTCATTTTCTTAAGTAGTGTGTTAAATTCAGTCTTAGGTTATAACATAATGTTAAAATAGAAACTATGCTATGTAGGATTTTTTTTTAAAGAGAGGACTCACACCAGACAGCAGCCACAGGACACGTAAATCTTTCAGAGAAAAATAATTTATTGTTTTCTTATTGAGTTCTTCAGGATTAAGAGGAAGAAGTTGACACTGACCAGACAGAATCCTGTGTTTGAATGGAATTTATGCATCCTGTATGAGGTGTATGAATATGCAACAGGCTGTTGTTTTTAAGGGTTAATCTCTGTTAACGTGGGTCCTTCTTCGGGCTTATTTTGCCCAGAAAGAGGTACCCAGACTGTCTGTAACTCTTTAGTTTTATTGTCTCACATTGTCCTAAATCCTAATTGTCCAAATTTTTATTACACTAATTATATTCCTATTTTTATAATCATTTTATTACTATTAAAATTTTGAAACCCTAAAAACAAGTGACTGGCCTTTTTCACATCCCGGTGTCAGGATCCCTCATTCGTGGAGAAAGTTTCCTGGACTTCAGGATAGACCAGAATCCACAAAAGTGTGAAATAGATCATAGACAGTAGTGTAGGTGAGAAATTTAGGGTTTGGGATTTTTAGTGTGTTGTGGATGGAAGCAAAATGGGGGCACAGAGTGGTGTCCTGAGTTTCCTCTTCATGTTTCTTCCTTCTCCTTCCTGGGTTTGGCTGGCATTTTGTAACTGGGCAGAAAAATCTGCATTGTGGGCCCTTTGGGATCAGTTATTGGGTGAAAAGAGAAAACAATCTAGGTGTCAGTTCTTAATTGGATAGTTTAGTCTGAAAGGACCTTGTAACAAGAGATGTTGGCCATTTTGTGCCTTCTAATGAAAAGCTGAACTCACAGCAGTGACACTGTTTTACTGGTAAGAAATAACAAACACCTGAGTCTGAACATGAATTACTGTCTCAAGTGCCTTCAATCCAAACCCAGAAAAGCTGAAAACTGGGACCCCCACCCGGGTTTGTCGCTGGCTGTCCCCTGGAAGGCTCAGGGCTCCCCTGTGGCTCTGGGTTTGTCACTGGGGTTTGTCACCACTGTCCCCTGGCTGGCACAGCCCCTGCAGCACGCAGGGAGGTGCTGGCAGAGAGCAGGGTGCTGTTCCCAGGCTGCTCACACAGCTCTGGAACAGGCCAGAATCTGACAGGAAAGGAAGGTTTTTCTCTTTAAATCAACGCCCTGGCACTTGGTGCAGCCCAGCTCAGCCTGGCAGGCCTTGGCAAAGCTCAGCTCCTTCTTTTCTGTCTGTCCTGAGCTCTGCCCCATCCCAGCTGGCTCCTGGGGGTCAGCACATCCCACTGGTGGTGCTTGGGAAGGGCAGTCCCTGTCCCTGTGCAGTGACAGACACAGGAGGGGCCCACACCACGTCAGTGGGAGCTGGTGATCTCAGCTTTAATCCTGCTCCTGAGTCCTGATTTTAGGGCCCAGAGCCTGGGCTGGGCTGCTCAACACGGCCATTCCATGGCTTTCCCATGGACAAACCTGTCACTGTTAGAGAACAGCCTTGTCTTCTTCCTTGCCATGGATACACTCAAAAATCATTAATTGTTATTTCTTCTTTGCTTGCAGGTCGGCTGTCAAGCCCCTCCACAAAACCCCCAAACTGCAGGGGCTGCTGCCACAGGAACATCACATCCTGCTCAGAGACCTGGTAAAATACTGAAAATACACTAAATATAATACTAAAAATACTAAAAATAATACAAAAAATACTAAAAATACCCAGAAACAAGGAACAGTAAATCTCTGACAATTAATGGGGTCAAAAGGCACCTAGATCCAGGCAGAGCCTGAGCTCTCCTCTGGGAGGGCTCAGAGCTGCTCATGTGTCAGAACCCAGCACGTTCCTCTGGCTGCCCTGGATGGCTCGAGCCCCTGGACTCAAAGCCCCTGGAGTCATGATTTTAGTCCATGGAGAAAATTGCCAGCTTTGTGTGAAGATTTACAAGTCACGAGAGTTTGAGTAGGATGACAGTTAATTTGTCACAGGGTGAAAAAGTAGAATTTTGGGGCTTTAGAATGGGGGTTCAAGAGGCAAGATGGAGGAATCTGGGTGTGCCCTGTCCTTTCTTCTCCTTCTTCTTGTCCTCCATCTTCTCTGTGATGGTGACACTTCTTGATTGGTTTAGAGTAGGGACAGACTGTGTAACATAGGTGATGGGTATTGGAAAATCATTGTCAATAAAGTACAGGTAGTTGTTAGTATAAAATGTTAACAGCACCCCAGGGCTGTCAGTGTGCCATGAAGTGACCAGCTGGTCAGGGAAAAAATGTAATAGATAAGAGAAAATAAATAACTTTGAAAAGCAGAGCTGAGGGATCCTGACTTCTTAGGTCGCAGGGCTGGGAAAAAGAAACTTTCTCCTACACTGGGGTCATGTGGAGCACAGAGACCTCGACACAGGGAGCAGGAGCATCACCCTGGGGAGGCCTGGTGAGATAAAGGTAAATGATTTCTCCTGCACCGGGCAGAGGGAATTGTTTGCGTTGCTGTGTTTGTGTCTCTCTGGTGTTTCTGAAGCATCTGTCTCTTCTGTGTGGGACAGACACAGAACTGAAATTCTCCTAAGAATGTGAATTTGCTCCATGAGCACCATGAGCAAGCAGATGGTTCTTCTCTCTCCTCCATTTCTGCTCAGGTTTTCCTCCCCTCGCAGGGAAGGAGCTGTCTCTAGCAGCCACATGGTGGAGTAGCCAGACAGGAGAAGCAATTAGAGGTTTGCACTGCATCCTTCTGCTGGAGGCATTTCCAAATCCTCACTGTTGCTCTTCATTTTCAACACCAAACACTGAGCAGAGCCATCATCATCATCATCATCAGCAGCAGCAGCAGCAGCAGCAGCATCATCATCATCATCATCATCACCATCATCAGGCCTTCAGTCTGATGTGAGCTCTGGGCAGGCTGGCCCTGCTGCTGAGCCAGGGTGCCCCAGAAAATCGATTTATCAGTGTCACTTCTGATTGTGTCCTTGCCCCAGAGCCTTTGCTCCAGCACCAGAAGGGGTGAGAGTGTGTCAGAACCCATCCCTGGTGAGCTCAGGGAAGTGTTAACATCCTTTTTTTTTTTGCTGTGAGCAGGATTCAGAGCTGGCAGCCGCAGTCAGGAGCGGCTTTGGCTGCTCCCCTGCATCCTCCTGCATCCTCCTGCATCCTCCTGCCCTCTGCCCGCGGAGGTGACACCGCGGCTCCCCACGAGGTGGCAATGTCTCCTGCAGGAGCTGCTGCCTCTGCTCGCAGCCTGGCAGAGGATGCTCGGGGCAGCAGGAGGAGCAGGGCAGCCCAGAGCCGCCTGGGCTCTCACTGCTCTGCGGTGCAAGGCGTCTGGGGGTGCTCCTGTGTGGGGGTTTGCTGTTTTGTCTCTGCTCCCATATGGGTGAGGTGGTTCTGGGCAGCCCAAGCTTCAAAGGACCAGTCTGGACTCTCGAGTTTTCGGTCTTCGATTTTGTTTATTATTTCTTATCTACAAAGTTTTCTGTCTGCCCAGCCGAGATCTGGTCAGCAAGGCAGCCCAGTGCACTCTCTGACTGCCCACGGGGCTGTGTCTTTTATAGTAAAAATACATATAACATATTTACCTTTTATTCCCAATACCTTTCATCTTTATTAACAAGTGCACCTTCACCATGAACCAGTCTACAAGTGCCAGCATCATCCTGGACATGGATGCAGGGAGGAGAAAGAAGGACAGGGCACGCCCAAATCCCTCCATCTGGGGACTCCTGACCCCATGTACAGGATTCCAAACCCCCCTGTACAAGGTTCAAAACCCCCCTGTACCATGCTCCAAAATTTTTCCCTTCATCCTGTGATTGCTACTACTTATGCTGCTTAAACTTTTATGGCCTGTAGTTCTTCATATAAGGTTGGCAGTTTGCTCCGTGAATTAAGATCGAATTTCCAGGTGTCTTTGGCTTCCTGCCAGGGTCTCTGAGTCCCTTCCAGGGCTTTGAGACATCCAGAGGGGTGTCCTGGGTTCCGACAGCTGTGCTCCTTGGCAGCCAGGAAAGGCCCTGGTGGTGAGGGCAGGGTGCCAGCCCGGGGGTCTCGAGCTCCCTGGTGCCCTGTGTGTGCACAGACCTGGAGACCCAGGGAGGTGCAGCCCCAGACTGTGGGGGGGTCCTGCAGCAGCGGCCCTGGGGCTCTTGGTGGGTGACAGCCTGTGCTTGCTGCAGCTCTCTGTCCTTTCTGGGCCCTTTCACCCTGTGCTCTGAGGTGGGGGGGCCTCGGTGCCACCCCCAGCCCCGCTGGGAAGTGCAGCAGGACAGAAGGAATCATCCTGGCACTCGGCTCTGCTGCTTCTCCCGCAGCTCAGCGCTGCCCTCCGGCCCGGGACATTCCTGGAAACCAGCTTTTCTCCTCCAGCATCCTTCCCGCAGCCTCGGTGTGGCCGCAGGCCGGGATGCGGGCTGAGCTGGGTGTTTGACGGCAGTTTGGTGCCATTAATCAGCGCGGGCAGCCCTGGTGATTAACCTGCTCCTGGAGAGAGCAGCAGGGTGAGCCCGGCTCTCACGGGGCCAGGGGATTCCCTGATCAAATCCTACATTCCCTTTCTTTACACAGCCATTCCTGGCATTCTCACCCCAGATTTGCAGCCCCCGGGGTGATGCTGAACTGGCCGCTGCCCCCCCCCAGTGGGGACCCGGTGGGATGGAGGCACTGGACGTGGGGTGACACATTCAGGGGGACAGCAAGGGCACGTCCTGGATCCTGTCAGCCCGGTCCAGGCACCGACGTGGCCCCGGGTGTGTTACAACCACCGCGTTTAAGGGTGTTTATTCACCGTGCCTGGCACTGGCAGGGCCCCACCGTCCCTCCTGCCTCGCTGCTGTGACACCGCTGCTCTCCGCGAGGTGCCAGGAGAGCTCCAAGCACAGGCTGGCCCGCCCTGCTGCCGCTGCAGCTGAGCAGGGGCAGGGACCTGGCTCGGCCCTCCTCCAGGATGGAGGGCTCAGCTCTGCCCCTCCAGGCTGGGGAATTCTCTCCGGGAGCTTCTCCAGGATTTTGGAGATGCCCTGGGTTCCCCCTGCCAGTTCCTGGGTCATTCCCATGGCCATGGGTTCCCCTGGCCAGGGGATGCCCTGTGCAGACCTCACTCCGTGCTCACATCCCAGGGATGTATCAAATAAACATCAAATAAACATCAAATAAACATCCACCTGGTGGGGGTGACTGGGGTCTGAGAGCCCCAGCCATCAGCTGGGGCCTTGGCATCAGCCTGGAGCAAACCTGGCTGGGAACAGGGATCACAAAGGCCAGGAAGGGTGGGAGCAGCTCGGGGCAGCAGCTCTGCCCTCCACCGGAACCTCTGGGCAGCACTGGCCCCTGCCTGGTGACAGGCAGCAGGACCAGAGGGTTTTCTGCAGTGGAAGGGCCCAGAGCAGGCATTGAGGGCAGCCTGAGCAGCTGGGAGAGGGACAGGCACAGCCATGACGGGATTTTCATTCCCTCTCCTGATGGATTCAGGAGCTGTTGGCAGCAGGCACAGCCAGGGCTGACTCAGAGCCTGTGCTGGGAGCAGGGATCATCCCAGCTCTGCTGGCAGCCCCACACAGCCTGTCTGCACATGCCAGACCCCTCCTGCCTTGCTGTCCTTTGTCACCCCTGGGCCAGGGACACAGAACTGCTGCAGTGCCACAGGAAGGGGCAAAGGTACCGGGCTCAGCTCCCACAGCTCCTGCGCTGCAGCAAATCCAGCCAGGCAGCACAGCAAGGAGCAGACTGGGACACGGGGTCCAGCTGCAGACAAAGCTCATCTCCCAGAGCCCTGCACGGCTCCAGCCCTGCTCCAGCCCTTCCCAATGCCCCGGCCCTGGAAGTGTTCAAGGCCAGGTTCAATGGGCCCTTGGAGCAACCTCACCTAGTGGAAGGTGTCCCTGCCCGTGGCAAGGGGAGGAACTGGATGAGCTTCCCTTCCAGCCAAAGCCCTTCTGGGATTCCATGATTCCATGATTCCATGATCCATCTGGGCAGGGCAATGCAGCTGTCCTGTCCTGCTGCCCCCTGCTTTCATCTTGCCCTTCCACTCTGCCTGAGCCAGGCAGGTCCCCTCCAATCTGGAGGGAATTCCCTGCTCCATGCCAGGGAGACAATCTGGGCCGTGGAGAGACCCTGGGATGAACCTCAGCTGGAATCTTGTGTGCCAGGCAGGGCCCTGCTGAGCTGGGCTCCTGGCATGTGCCAGCTCATCCCCAGCACCAGCACTGGCAATGTCTTTGGACACAGGACGGGTGCACTGGGCCCCTTCCTGCCATGGTGGGTGCCCAGCAATGGGAACAACCCACACGCACTGGGAAGCACTGGGAGACCTTCCCAGGTGCCCTGACACCTGCCCTGTGCTGCCAAGGCTGCCTGGCACAAAGGGGATCCCAGCAGAGTCCCCTGTGCTGGCACAGCGAGGGCAGAGGGGACAGTGAGGGCAGAGGGGATTCTCCAGGCAGCCCCTGCCCTGCCTGCAGAATCAGTGCCCGCTGTGCACTGCCCCTGTGCCCTCCCTGTTCCAAGGCAGGAACCAGACTGGCTGCCAAAATCTCAGGGTTTCCATCCTGCCCTGCTGGGACAGGGGATGGATCCAGCTGAATCCAGCCCTTGCTGCTCTGGGGGTGAGGGCCAGGAGGTTTTTGGGGTGACAGCAGCAGGAATGATGAGCACAGAGCTGTCCCCACTGTGCTGACTCGAGCAGAGAGAGGGGCAGGTCGGGCCAAACACCTTGGTCAGCACCTGCCTGGCTCCGGTTCGCGTTTCACTTACGAGGCAGAACCCGGCGGGGTGTGAGCGCATCCCCACGCCGCCCCAGCCGCAGCCCGGCCCGGCCCTGCCCCGCGGCCGGGCACGCTCATCGCTGCCTACACCAACTCCCCGAGGGCCAAACACTGGCCCTGGGCCAGCCCAGCCCAGCCCAGTGCCCGTCCCGGCACGATGCTGGCACCGCAGGGATTTGCCTCTTACAAAACACCCGGCCGTGGCACTCCCTTGCCAGGCTGGGAATTGGAGATGGGAGCTGGGGGTGGGATGGCCACGCTCTGGGGTCCCCAGTGGCCCCGTTCCCAAAGCCAGACAGGCACTGGGACAGGCTGGGCTGGGAAGGGCACAGTGGCAGGGGACATCGAGGGGACATCAGAGGGTGCTCAAGGTCCTTGGGAGCCCCAGCTCGTGTTTGTGGCTGTGCAGCCTGGCCCCTGTGCCTGTGCACACTCCTGGGGCTCCCCTGGCACCCCGAAGGTGCAGTGTGTTCATCCCAGAGCTGCCTGCTCGCCTTGTCTCAGTGACACAAGTGCCAGCCTGGCGGGGGGACAGGGGGACAGCAGACACTGCCTTGGGGCTGCAGCTGTGAAAGCACCTGGTGACAGCCCCTTCTTGTGGTTAAGAGATGGCAGGGACCCCTAAGCAGAGGCATTTCCATGGAACACTGCTCAGCTGCCGTGTTCAGCACTCCCCCCCTGGCATGGAGCTTCCTGGGAAAAGCAGCTCAAGACGGAGCCTTCCACATTCCTGCTCCAGTTCTGCTGTGCTTGTGCCCCGGGCTCAGTCCTGCACAGGGGCAGAGCCACAGTGGCTGGACCGGCGTGGGGCAGGAAGGGCTGGCACATCAAGTGGATTTTGGGGGCACAGGGAAGGCCAGGGTTGGGGTGCCAAGGCTAATATTGGCCCTGAACCTCCCAGCCCTACAGCAGCTTCTTGCCAGGCTGGGCCAGGTGTTCAAACCCTGTAGGGCTGAGATCAGAAGTGGGCACTGCCTGCCTCCCCAGCTGTCCCCCTGCTCCAGGGCAGACTCTGGTTGAATTTCTTATTTCTTTTTTTCCCTTCACTCCTGACCCAGGAGCAGGAATAAACTCCCCACCACAGCCTCCAGGGGCTCTTCCTGAGCCTGCCAGCCTCACTGCAAACAAACATGGAACAGGGGCTGCCCAGTACTGGAGTAAGGGCGATTTTGATGTGGGTGAGGGAGAGAAAATGATGTATTTGACTCCATAATCAGAAAGCCAATTAATTACTTTATTATACTATGCTATATACATTATATCTAAACTGAATCTGCTTCACCCTCACCCTTGCTCACAACTGCAAAGAATTGCACTCATTTCTGGTTTTCTCATGACTGTCTTGTGGCAGTCTGGCACATACACTTTTTTGGCTCTGATAGGCCAAGGAAACAAAACATTCTTACTTTGGATAAATAATCCTTATATTGTATCATATTTTGGTATAGCATGGGTATAGCAAACGAGATAAGAATTGTGTTTTCTTCTTGTGACATTCACAAATATTCTTGGGGAGAATTGTGTTTTGTTTTTCTTTGTGGAGAGAAACGTGGCAACAGCCCAGCGGCCCCGGGGCAGGAGACCCCCAGAGCCGGGGACCCCCGGGGCAGGAGCGGGGTCTGGGGGTGCCGGGCTGAGCTGCTGGCGTGTCACCTGATAGGCCAAGGAAACATTGGATAAATAATCTTTATATTATATTCTATTTTGGTATAGCACAGGTATAGCAAACACGATAAGAATTCTGTTTTCTTCCTCGGATGCTGAGAGAATGTGACATTCACAAATATTCTTGGGAATAATTCTGGTTTGTTTTTCTGTGTGGAGAGAAACGTGGCAACAGCCCAGCGGCCCCGGGGCAGGAGACCCCCGGGGCAGGAGACCCCCGGGGCAGGAGCGGGGTCTGGGGGTGCCGGGCTGAGCTGCTGGCGTGTCACCAGCCTTGTTTTGGCTGCCGGGACGCGTCCCTGCCGCGGCTTGTCCCCACGCCCAGCGCCGGCTGTCATTAGCGAGGCGGGTCCCGCCCCGCTCCCA